AGTATGTGAAGAATGGAGCGATTAGGACTTGGTGAGAGGACTCGGTGAAGCTCAGAGTCAAGAAAAAAGTGCTTGGGCTGGGGATTTAGCTCAGTGGTAGAGCGCTTGCCTAGCAAGCACAAGGCCCTGGGTTCGATCCTCAGCTCCAAAAAAAAAAAGTAAAGTGTCATGCCCTCCCCCACGTGCCTGTGTTTTAAGACAGAGAAAGCACTCTGGCTGTTTGGGGACTTAGGTTTGAAAGGACTTCAAATCCTACAAGTTGTATTTTTATTTTGTATGTGAAGAGAATGGCACAGTATGTGTGTGGATGTCAGAGGTCAACGTTTATAAGAAGATTAATTTTTATTTTATATGTATGGATGTTTTGCCTGTAGGTAAGTCTGTACATCAAGTGCATACCCAGTGCCTAACGAGGCCAAAAGAGGGCGCCAGATTCCCTGGGATTGTGAGCCATCATATGTTGGGTCTTCTGCAAGATCTGCTGGTGCTATTAACCACTGAGCCACCTCTCCAGCCGGCAGAGGTCAACTTTTGGGAATCTGCTTTCTCTTCCACATATGCATTTCTCAGATTGGGTGGCAAACTTCTTTACCTTTTGAATAATATCTCGCCCCATCCCTCTTTGAGGTAATATCTGACATAGCCCAGGCTAGCCTCCTGCTTCATAGGTAGCTGAGGATAACCTTAAACTTTTGTTTCTTTTTTGGTGTTTGTTTGTTTGATACAGTGTTTCTCTGTGTAACAGCCTGACTTACCTGGAACTTGCTCTGTAGACCAGGCTGGCCTGGACCTCACAGAGATCCGCCTGGCTCTGCCTCCTGAGTGCTGGGATTAAAGGTGTGCGCCAACACTGCCAGGCTCCAGCTGTTATTCTTATTGTGTGTATGATTTATGAATGCAGACTTGTAAGCCATGTGAACATGTGGAGGTCAGAGGACAACTCTGTGGAGTTGATTCTTTTTGTCCAACTTTACACAGGATGCAGGGATTGAACTCAGGTACTCAGGCTTACGTGGCAAACACGTATCCACTGAGCCATCTCACTAGCCCATTTTAATTTAATTGAATCTTATTTTACTTGAGGGACTGGGGCTGGAACCCAGGGCCTCCTGCCTGGTAGACAAGCCCTCTAAGACTGGGCCACCACGCCCTTGGTCCTGAAGAGTTGGATCAACCTCTAGCACACCTAGATGCTTCGATTCCTACTTATTTGCCCAGTGTTCTGACAACAGAATTTGGAGTTTATTTCCAGCTCTCAGATATTGCTTCTGGGAATGGTTATGGTCCCTGTGCAAACACTCCTGGCCTCCTCCCTAGCTTTCCCCAAAGCTCTCTGCATTCCTGGCTGCTTAGGTGGTGGGGTGTGTTTTGGGGAGACTGATCTCGTCAGACAGGTGTGGTCTGTATGCAGCGCTCCAGCTTACAGGATCCCCAACCCCCTCTCTCACTGCAGCGTTCCCTGAGCGTGTGGAGCTGGACCCTCTGCCCGCCTGGCAGCAGGTGGGCAAGATCCTCACCCTGCGCTGCCTGGTGGACGGTGGGGCACCCCGGAGCCAGCTCTCCGTGGTGTTCTTCCAAGGGGAGGAGGAGCTGCACCAGGAGAAAGTGGGTGTGAACTCCACGAACCCCCAAGAGATCACAACCACGGTGCTGGCGAGCAGAGATAACCATGGAGCCAATTTCTCATGCCGCACAGAACTGGACCTCAGACCGCAAGGGCTAGAAGTGTTCCTGAACGTCTCCGAGGCCAGGCAGCTCCGGACTTTCGGTGAGGCCCTGGGAACCGAGGTATAGGGTGCAGGCGGGATCTTGGGAAGAAGCCAGCCCCTGCAGTAGGGGAGAGGTGCTGAGAAAATGGTGATCTTCGTAGTGGAAGTTTTGGGACTCGTGAGATGGCTCATTGGGTAAAGGGCTTGCATCCGAGCTAGAAGACGTGAGTTCAGTTCCCAACTTCCAAAGGAGAAAACTGACTCCTGAAGGTTGTCCTTTGACCTCCACAAGTGAGTCGTGTACATGTATATACATAAATACATTAAATGAATAGGAAGAAAAACGGGGGTTGTGGGTGGCCATGCCTCTCACTCATGTCTGTCTTCTCTCCTAAGATCTTCCTGGGACCAGTCCAAAGCTCAACAGTCCTGACCTCCTGGAGGTGGGCACCCAGCAGAAAGTGTCCTGCTACCTGGAAGGCCTGTTTCCTGCCTCCGAAGCCCAGCTACATCTGGAGCTGGGAGGCCACATACTGACCTCCAAGAGCACAAACCGCGGGGACTTGGTGTCAGCCACCGCCTTGGTGGACGTGCCTGCGGAGCTGGAGGGAACTCAGCAGCTGCGCTGTGTTTTGGAGTTGGCAGACCAGACCCGGCAGGCAGAGAAGACCTTGAACATATACAGTAAGAAGGGCAGGGCCTAGTCCAGAGATAGCGGAGGCTGGAAACTTGATTGATACCAAAGGAGGGGTACTAAAAGGGTACTGCCCAGTGTAGGGGCACAGGGGTGAGGCTTCCGGGGGCGTGGCCTACGTGTGGGGTAGCCCATGCAGAAGTCAGGACTGGCACCAGGGGCATGACTAATGCCAGTAGCGGCACATTCACGAGAAAGAGCTGAGGCAGGGAGTAGTGATGCACGCCTTTAATCCCAGCACGGGGTGGCAGAGGCAGATGGGATTCTCTCTCTCTCTTTTTTTTTTTTTTTTTAACTGGAGCTGAGGACCGAACCCAGGGCCTTGTGCTTGCTAGGCAAGCGCTCTACCACTGAGCTAAATGCCCAACCCCGGCAAATGGGATTCTTATGCGTTCGAGGCTAGCCAGAGCTACACAGTGAGACCCTGTCTCAAAAACACAAAAATACGCTAGACCTTTCAAAAGGAGGAGTCCACTCCGCGGATGGCCAATGCTGGAGGTTGGGGCTGACTCTAGAGGAGACCTCAGAGTAAGGCCCACCTACCTACACTTGAGGCTGAGCCATCGAGGGCGGGAGTGGGGGGGTGGGGGCTTACGGTGTGTCCCGCCCCCAGGCTTTTCAGCTCCGGTCCTGACCCTGAGCCCGCCAGAGGTCTCAGAAGGAAACCACGTGATGGTGAAGTGTGAAGCCCACGGTGGAGCGCAGGAAGTGTGGTTGAGTGGTGCTCCGCCCGGCGGGCCCCCGTCCCCGCAGGTCAACTTCACGCTGAACGCCAGCGCTGATGATGACCAGCGACGCTTCTTTTGCTCTGCGGCCCTGAAGGTGGCTGGGCAGAAGCTGTTAAAAAACCAGACCCAGGAACTCCGGGTGCTGTGTGAGTGGGGCCGCGGGGTGGGGGTCGCGATCCCCTGACGCCCCAGGTGCCCCCTGAGCTCTTCCTGACCTGTGTCCTCACACTGTCATTTCTCCAGATGGCCCCCGGCTGGACGAGAGGGACTGCCCAAGGAACTGGACCTGGCCGGAGGGGTCTCAGCAGACCCTGAAATGCAAGGCCAGGGGAAACCCATCCCCCAAGCTGACCTGCAGCCGGAAAGCAAATAATGCCCCGCTACCCCCTGGGGTGGTGGTGACTGTCACACGGGAGATGAGTGGTATCTACGTGTGCCAGGCCACGAGCTCTCGTGGAAATGTCACCAGGGAAGTGTCCCTGACAGTGAAGATTTGTGAGTGTCCTGGGGTATAGGGCTGGGTGAGCGGTGGGCAGGGTGCCAGGTCCTTAATCCTTACCTTACAATCCCTTCTGCCTTTACTACACAGCCGACCCCCCTATTAACTGGGTCATCCTGGTGATAACGCTGCTTATTGTGCTCTTTGTGGGCCTGGCCATTTACCTTTACAACCGCCAGAGAAAGATCAGGAGATACGAGCTACAGAGGGCGCAGGAGGAGGCCATGAAACTCAAGGCACAAGCCCCGCCTCCCTGAACCATCGGGAGCCAACCCCTCCCTAGGCCCCCCTGCGGGCAGCAGCTGGTGCTGCTTTTGAACAGAAAGGTGGACAGTGTTTATCCTCACCCACCTCCTCAGGCTGTGACAACAGAATGGTGGTCTGGGGATGCACAAATCAGATCTCCTTGGCCCTGCACTTGTAGCCTCAGGACTAAGTGGCGAGACGAGCAAGATCGTGAGGGCCTGGATCTGTGACCTGGACACGCCCACAGCCTTGTGGGCCTTCAGCAGGAAATGCTGACCTCATTCCCTATTGCCCACGCGGAGGGCCCCTGCCTAAGGAAGAGTGTCTGTATCCAATAGACACAAGCAAGAGTCGAAACATAAGACCATGCTTCCTCTGACATAGGAGCGCTGGGACATTGTCCCCAACTCTTCATGATGATGTATTTATTAATTCAAAGTTTTAACTGCTATTTATTGAGTGCCCTGCACAGACACTAGAGCAATGAGCAGGCGAGCACAGGTCCTTGTCTGGATACTGCTGCAGGGGCTGTGTACACAACAGAGCCTGGAGAAGGTTCACCTGGGGCTAGGGCTCCTCTGCTGGTCAGGATGCTCTTTCTCTAAGAGCTGCTTTTTTCATGAGTCACAAAAGTACTAAGTGGACGAGCAGTGGTCCCCTGCTCACCGGCCTCTCTTGGAGTCCTGACTCTGCATCCCTGGCTCTCAGAGCCATCATGGGAGGTAACCATGGTAACCACCTCCCCACTCACGGTCATTCCCGCCACTGCGCCCCATGTCAGCCACCATACCTAAATATGGATGCCCATCCTTGACAGCTGAACAATGAAGTCTCATGCTCATGAAATTGTGGTCAGTCTGCATGCCCCCACCTGGCTCCACCTCAAGGAGAAAGCCTGGAAGAAAATGCTGAACCACTTAGGAGGGTCCTGCAAGCTGGGGGGTGGGGGGAGAAATACCCCTCCCAGCTCAGAAGCCTTTCCTTTGAGTCAATAAAGTTTTCTGTTGGCCTCAGCCTCCTGTGAGTTTGCGGATAGGCATCACATCAGTTAGAGCCCTTTCTGACACCCCCACTTCCACTTCCTCAGAGTGTTGCCTGTTACCCTAACCCTGAGTCTGCAAGCTGGTTTTTTGTTTGTTTTTCCTTGGTCTTTGTTTTTTGAGACACGGTCTCTGCGTAGCCCTGGCTATCCTGGAACTTTCTATGTGGAACGGGCTGGCCTCTAACTCACAGAGGTCCACCTGCCTGTCTCCTGAATGCTGGGATTAAAGGCCTGAGCCACCACTATACCCACTAAAGTCTATTTAATGACCTCTTGGGGCTTAAGTGAAAACTAAAACCCAGTTCAGAAAAGTGCAATGACTTCTGATTAACTGTGGGGTCTGATGTGCCATTTTGGAGTCCAGGCTAGGCGGTGTCTTTAACAGGGCTCCTGGGCCCACTCTGGGGCGTGGCCAGGGAGCCTTATCTCCAGGGCCAGTCGAAGCTCCCTGGCCCCTGCTCCTCAGCGCGGGCTATGTGCCATGGCGTCTGTCCTGTTCCCGTCGCTTTTGCTGGTGGCCGCCTATCCGAGGAGTGGGAGCCCCCAGCATGAGCGGATGCAAAGCCCTCCGGCGCCTTCCGGGACCTCAACGCCGTTCTTGGTGCGTTTAAATCCGGAGCTGGAGGCTGTGCCTCCCGGGGGCTCGGTGTGGCTTAACTGCAGCCACAGCTGCCCCCTGCCGGTGCGTACCATCCTGCGCACTCAGCTGCGGCAGGGAAAGACACTCAATGGATCCGGTTGGGTATCTTACCAGCTACTGGATGTGAGGGCCTGGGATTCCAAGGTGCGCTGCGTCGTTACTTGCGCAGGAGAAACGCGGGAGGCCACCGCCAGGATCACCGCTTACAGTGAGGGAGACCCGGGCTCAGGCCGGGTGGGGTGAGGAGAGAGGGTGGAGGAGTGGGGTAGTTGGCAGTTGCTTTAGGAGGTGCCTGCAGGTCTTACCCTTCTTGCCTTAGAACGGCCGAGAAGCGTGATCATGGAGCCTCCGGTCCTAGTGGGCCACAAGTACACTCTACGTTGCTATGTGACACACGTGTTCCCCGTGGCGTATTTGGTGGTGAGCCTGAGGAGGGGTGGCCGAGTGGTTTATTTTGAAAGTCTGGAGCGCTTCAACAGTTCAGATCTGGCTAATGTCACTTTGACCTACGTGATGCGGGCAGGACCCAACGACCTCCGGCAACCACTCACCTGTCATGCACGCCTCAATCTCGACGGGCTAGTGGTGCGCAGCAGTTCTGCACCAGTTATGTTGCAGGTCCTCGGTGAGGCACCCTGCAACCTCGGGGAATTGGTAGGGGAGAGGGGATGTTGCCACTCCACGAGGGCCCACAGAACAGGCGTGGGCTCCACGCTTGGAGGGCCTCAGACCTCCTCGTTCCTGACTTTCTTTCACTTCCGCTCCCAGCTCTGAGTCCAGCCTCCAAAGCGTTGGCTTCTGCCTCCATCGCAGCCCTAGTGGGGATCCTTCTGGCTGTGGGGACTGTCTACGTGCGCAAGTGCCTGGCCGGGCAGACTCAGTCATAGGCGGCTGCTCGATGCCTGACAAGAGAGAGGATAAAGAAGCCCAGAGCAACTAGTTCAGATACTCTTAATGGATCAATAAAGCCCTTCTTCCTCGGTCTCTGTCCAACGGTTCTTGGAGGAAGTGGTTTCCTTTTTAGGGGACCCTGCTTTTTCCAAATTTCTTGTCTAGGGCCTCAAGACTTGTAGCTCAGGGTTAGTACGTTTGCCTGGCCTTGGTGTCTAGGGCTTGAAGATTTGTAGCTCAGGGGTAGTACGTCTGCCTGGCCTTGGTGTCTAGGACCTGAAGATTTGTAGCTCAGGGGTGGTACGTTTGCCTGGCCATGGTTTCAATACCCGGGACTGGAGGAAACAACACCTCGTGTGTCTCAGGGCAGCTGAAGTTTCTCCTTCAAGAGCAGTTTGGGGTCCCCGAACCCGAGTTCTTCTCCGCAGAGTGTTTTGCTAGATTTATCCCTGCCGGGCAGAAGGACTAAACTGGCCTCCCTCCAGGCCCTGGGTTGGGGGAGGGCTGGCTCTTGGTATGGCTTTTCCTGATTGGCTCCGGGGATACACACCACAGCTCTGATTGGAAGCTAAGTTTCCCTTCTCCTACCTCCTTTTCCACTACAGATCTTGCGCGTTACTGAGGCCAGTGGGTGGAGCTAGACCCGGTCCCCGGGGTTACCATTAATGAAGGGGGAGGGGTAAAACAAGATTGGGCGGGGCCTCCTGCACGGATTAGAGGAAGCAGATACCCAGATAGGAAATCTAGCATAGCAACAAGTTAGAGACGGTTGCTCAGGCCACATGGGCTGTCACAGACTTCCATCCGGGCAACGTGTTTGTTGTCATCGAGCCAGGTATGCATGTGGGGAGGGGTGTCAAAGCTTGGAGACAGATGCGAGGACACAAGTGTCCCCAATTGATCTTCTGGTCCAGTTTGGATTACAGAAACTCACTAGTTATTCAGCAAAGGCTGCGGCGCCCAAGGCGAGGAACGCGCAGATGCTCTCCCGAGAGACTTGGTTCACAACAGCATTGTAGACACATTCCCGCTGCACGCTGGGTAAATACAGATCGGGTGCCGGAGCCGACTCTAATTTAGACGCCCGCGAACACTGCGCACACGCACACGTGTCTGCGACTCGCGGGCACTTGATCCCCCCCCTTCGCCGCGTGCGCGGAGGAGGTCTTAGGGGCGTGGCTCCCATTCTCAATCTGCTAGAGGTCAAAACTAAGCATCAGTTAAGGGAGGCATCCCCACACCCTCCTCTTAAAACCACCTTTTCGGCATACTACGACTCCCTAAGATTTTTACAAGCAACCTCACCACCTGCTCCAAGGGGCGCTGGTGGGAGGGGCCGAAGATGGGCGTGGCTTGGAGCCCTAGCGCGTTATCCCAGAATCTATACCTAGGATGGTGGAGTTTGGGCAGGGCCTCGCCGCATCCCTCCCTTCCTTCACCACAGATGACGCGGGAGAGCGTGGTCGCCCCCAGAAGGTTTTAGACCATTAGGCCGACCTCCACGTAGACCCCTCCCCCCAAGGGGGACCGCTCTTGCCTGGTCAGATCGTCTGCACTAAGACCGTGAGCAGCCCAGTGCGTGCTCGCCTCCCGCCAGTTCGCCCCCCATCACCGCCTCTACCACCGCCCCCTCCTTGGAAACCAAGTTACCAACGTTTAAACCAATCCCTGGGCGCAACTCTGCCACCCCCACACTCCACCCGCTGCGCTGCGCCGTCCTCCCAGCCCGGCTCTCCATCACTCGCGCTCCCCTCTCCTCCTGCGTTCTCCCCTCCCCGGCAGCGGCGGCAATGCCGGGGCCTTCGCCAGGGCTGAGCCGAGCGCTCCTCGGCCTCTGGGCTGCCCTGAGCCTGGGGATCCTCGGCATCTCAGGTAAGAAGAGCCCGCCCGCGGAGTCAGGTGGACAAGGCGGGGGAGGTTTTGAAGGACCAGAGAGGGCGGCCCGGGTGTCCCCTCCAGGCTCCGCCCTCTTCTTGCTTCCCACGCTTCTGCCACCACCTGGAGCCCGGGGCTTCTCCCCATCCCTCCTCCACCCCAACACACCTCGATCTTTCAGATCTGAACCCAGCACCTTTTCCGGATTCGGGGTTTTGCACCCAACCCCGCTCAGGAGAGACACTGTGGCTTTCCTATTTCTTTCCTGCTCTGTCGTGCCCTATGGTTCACGGACTGGCATCATCCCTATTCGTGATCCTCAAAGACCCCCATCTCTTCAACTGTTATGACTCAGAGGCCCTGTTCCCCCTCCACCTGTAGCCCTGGCAACCGGCTTTCTGGGGCTTTTCCCGCGGTTCCTTCCCGGAGTCCAGCCTTGAGGCTGTCTGTCCAAGTTACTCAAGTTTGGGGCAGTCTCCTTTAAGCCTCTGACTCAGTCTCATCTCTACTTTGCTTTCGCCCCCAGCCTCAGTGTGTCTCCCCACCCCCACTTACTGACAATGTGCCAGAGTCTTGAGACTCACTTGGTTCCCCATCCCCCCACGGGAGTCTCCTCCTCCCCACTATTGACGTGAGCATCCGAGACCCCATTCTCCCCGCACCGAGTTTCCCCATCTCTGCCTTAGAAAGCAAGGCTTCCAGAGACGCCCCTCTGAGAGTGTGCCAGCCTCGAAGCTTGAGTGGGATGCGGGACTCCCGTGCTATTTCTTGGCGGTGGCCTCTCCTCGTCCTTGCAGAGACCCCTGATTTGGGATATAGGGGCGCTAAGATTTCAGAGAGGGGGTCCCCAGGCTGAGCCCGCGTTTTCCCGGGCAGCGGTGGCGCTAGAACCTTTCTGGGCGGACCTTCAGCCCCGCATGGCGCTCGTGGAGCGCGGGGGCTCGCTGTGGCTCAACTGCAGCACTAACTGTCCGCGGCCGGAGCGCGGTGGCCTGGAGACCTCGCTGCGCCGGAACGGGACCCAGAGGGGTCTGCGCTGGCTGGCTCGGCAGCTGGTGGACATCCGAGAGCCCGAGACCCAACCCGTCTGCTTCTTCCGCTGCGCGCGCCGCACACTACAAGCGCGTGGGCTCATTCGAACTTTCCGTGAGTTGTGGGTGGGCACGCCCCTTAGGTCCCTGGACCTCCCCTTCAAGCTCCGCCCGCCGGTCCTCACGCCCTCCTTCCCACGCGCAACCGGGTGAGCGCTACAGCTCACTAGAGCCGAAGTTTCGGTCCCTTGCAGAGCGGCCGGATCGGGTAGAGCTAATGCCGCTACCTCCTTGGCAACCCGTGGGCGAGAACTTCACCTTGAGCTGCAGGGTTCCGGGAGCCGGACCCCGAGCGAGCCTGACGTTGACTCTGCTGCGGGGCACCCAAGAGCTGACCCGCCGCAGTTTCGTGGGCGAGCCACCCCGAGCACGCGGCGCGATGCTCACCGCCACGGTCCTGGCTCGCAGGGAGGACCACGGGGTCAATTTCTCATGCCTCGCGGAGCTGGACCTGAGGCCACACGGCCTGGGACTCTTTGCAAACAGCTCCGCCCTCAGACAGCTCCGCACCTTTGGTGAGTGTGGACCCTGACTGACAAGTTTTAAAGAAGTTTAGGGGCAGCCAGGTGTAGTGGCGCACGCCTTTATGCACACGCCACGGTGCATGTGTGGAAGTTAAAGGACAACTTTAGTGGGAGTTGGTTCTCTTCTTCCGCCATGTGGGACCTAGGGATCGAATTAGGTCGTCAGGCTTGGCGGCAAGCGCCTGTTTTCGCTGAGCCATATCGCCGGCCCTTTTGTATTTTTATGATGAAACCAAACAGTGCATGTAAATTGCTTGGTCCACATTGAATGTTTCATACGTAAACTCAAGCGCTGGTTCTTTGTCTCCCCCAGCCCTGCCTCCAGTTCCCCCGAGCCTGGTTGCTCCCCGAATCTTAGAAGTGGGCTCAGAAAGGCCGGTGAGCTGCACTTTGGATGGACTGTTTCCTGCCCCAGAAGCCGGGGTTTACCTCTCGCTGGGAGATCAGAGGCTGCATCCTGCTGTGACCTTCGATGGCGACAGCCTCGTGGCCACTGCCACAGCTATGCCAAGCGCCGAACAGGAAGGCACCAGACAGCTGATGTGCAGCGTGACTCTCGGGGGCGAAAGCAGGGAGACCCAGGAAAATCTGACTGTCTACAGTAAGGGGATCGAGGAGGGGCTTCAATGGCCGGGTCTGGGTCCTGAGTCTCACGAAGGCAGAGCCTGTAAAGTGGACGGGGCTTCCACACCCGAACAGGCAGGGCGGGAGAGTTCCAGGGCAGGAGCAGAAGGAAGCTGGAAATAAATAGACGGGGAGGGCTTGCGTTAACTGAGGGGTCAGTGGCCAGTGAACCCCACCCAGTGTTCTGTCCCCCCCCCCCCAGGTTTCCCTGCTCCTCTTCTGACTTTGAGTGAGCCAGAAGCCCCTGAGGGGAAGGTGGTGACCATAAGCTGCTGGGCTGGGGCTGGAGCCCTTGTCACCCTGGAGGGAATCTCAGCTGTGGTCCCGGGACAACCCGCTGAGCTCCAGTTAAATGTCACGGAGAATGACGACAAGCGGGCCTTCTTCTGCGATGCCGCCCTTGAAGTGGACGGGGAGACCCTAAGAAAGAACCAGAGCGCTGAGCTTCGTGTTCTGTGTGAGTGGGTGCTCACCTATCTTTGTGACCTCCAAGGACCGCATCTCTATGGCCCCATCTTTAACTTACTGTATTTCCTCTGCCCGTGCCTGCAGATTCACCCCGGCTGGATGACTCGGGTTGTCCCAGGAGCTGGACATGGCCCGAGGGCCCAGAGCAGACCCTTCACTGCGAGGCCCGCGGAAACCCAGAGCCCTCAGTGCACTGTGCCAGGCCTGAGGGCGGGGCGGTGCTGGCGCTGGGCCTGCTGGGTCCAGTGACGCGCTCCCTCGCAGGCACTTACCGTTGTACGGCAGTCAATGGCCAAGGCCAGGCTGTCAAGGACGTGACCCTGACTGTGGAGTGTGAGTAGGGAGAGGTGGGCATGCGCATCTCTTTCGGTTCTCAGAGTTGGGGAGGTTGGCCTACAGAGAGAGAAAGAGGCCGGGCTCCAGCAGGAATTGGGAAAACATTGTAGGGTGTTCATAAACTTGGTCGTGGTGCCTGGGCACAGCCTGGCAAGAACAGGCAGTCAAAACAGTGTACCTGGGAAGGTCTCATGGGCGCTTAGTGGGAATCAGTCAGAAGGACCCGGAGACCTCAGGAAAGGGTCAACTGAGTTTATCTTCAGAGCCCATGTAGAGGTGGAAGGAGGGAACAGGCTGCGATCTCCACACGTGGTCTGGGTAGTGCTTTCCCACACAAATATCACACAGAGTAAATAAATAAATAAAACGGTTCAGGCAGGACTAAGAGGTGGGCGCAGTCTTCAATCCCAGCACTCAGGAAGCAGACAAACAAGCAGATCTCCGTGAGTTCCAGGCCAGCCTGGTCTACAGAGTGAGTTCCAGAACAGCCAGGACTACACAAAGAAACCCTGTCTTCAAGAACCAAAGAGAGATCTCCCATGCAGGATATAGCTTGCCATATCCTTTCTGGAAGCAGAAGACAGAAAGAAGGTCATTAGGGGAATCAGATGGGTTTCTAAATCCAAACTTGAGCCTGGGGCTGCAGTTCAATAGGTAAATTGTTTTCTTAGCATGTTTGAAGCCTGGTCACACCTTCTGCATGGCAGAAACCAGGCACAATTAAAGCCCAGAGCTTGGGAGTAGGAGGCAGGAGGATCAGGAGTTCAGTATAGTCCTCAGTTACATAAGTTCAAGGCCAGCCTGGGCTATAGGACATCCTGCCTTAAAAAACCAAATCCGCCGGGCGGTGGTGGCTCACGCCTTTAATCCCAGCACTCGGGAGGCAGAGGCAGGTGGATCTCTGTGAGTTCGAGGCCAGCCTGGACTGCCAAGTGAGTTCCAGGAAAGGCGCAAAGCTACACAGAGAAACCCTGTCTCGAAAAACCAAAAAAAAAAAAAAAAAAAAAAATCCGTTCCAGATGCCCCAGCGCTGGACAGTGTAGGCTGCCCAGAACATATTACGTGGCTGGAGGGAACAGAAGCATCGCTTAGCTGTGTGGCCCACGGGGTTCCACCGCCTAGCGTGAGTTGTGTGCGCTCTGGGAAGGAGGAAGTCATGGAAGGGCCGCTGCTTGTGGCTCGAGAGCACGCCGGCATTTACCGATGCGAAGCCATCAACGCCAGAGGATCGGCTGCCAAAAACGTGGCTGTCACGGTGGAATGTGAGTAGGGGTGGCTGGAGAGAAGCCCACACGGGTATCCTCCGTCCTCAGTGTGAACTCCTGTTTCCCTGCTTCCTAGATGGTCCCAGTTTTGAGGAGCTGAGCTGCCCGAGCAACTGGACGTGGGTAGAAGGATCTGGAAGGCTGTTTTCCTGTGAAGTTGATGGGAAGCCAGAACCACGCGTGGAGTGCCTGGGCTCCGAGGGTGCCAGCGAAGGGGTGGTATTGCCTCTGGTGTCCTCAAACCCTGGTCCTAGAAACTCTATGACCTCTAGTAACCTGTCACCGGGTATCTACCTCTGCAACGCCACCAACCGGCACG